TACCACCGCCCCTGCCTATTTGGGGGACAGTCCGGAACCGCATTTTAGCACCACTTCAGACTGCCCCCCAGCGTTTGGAGTCCCGTGTCTCCCTGCCTCATATATACGGGTTTACCGTCCTGGTACTAATCTAGCTTAAGTCTATGTATCTATTTACTAGGAATAGTAATAATCGATTAACATATATACATATATATACACGTTGTCTCGCCTCATCGTTCCTCTCACAGAGCGGTCATCGGAACCTAATACCGCTGTTTATACATATTTACATAATTGCGTCTTTGTTCCTCTCACATAGGCGGTCATCGGAACCTAATGCTACCTTATATATATACATCATACGTACGCCTCCGTTGCTCCTCACACACTCGATCATTGGAGCCTTATCCAATGGGAGGAGCCGGGACTGCCACGGGAAGCGCGGCCTGCGCAGCCTGCTCCCGTTCTCGAGCACGCTCGTCCTCCTCCTTATTTCGCATCACCGTTTCACAGAAAGTTGCGAATACGGCCCACGCTTCGGGAGAACGCACGATGGCCCTCACCACCGCCCGCAGCGACCTGTCGACACCCACGACTTCCAGCAGCGCACCCCTCTGCTCCGCCCAGGACGGGCAAAACAGAAGGGTATGCACCGCTGTGTCGCTCGTCGCTCTACAAAAAAGGCATATCGGGGTGTTCCTTCGCCCTATCCCATAGAGATAGGCCTCAAACACCCCGTGCCCAGTCAAAATTTGGGTGACCCGATACATGAGGGCACTGTGCGTCCTCCCCACCCAGGTTTCTAAATCCCCCTCCATCGCTGCTCGCACGACCGCGCTCGAACCACCCGGCGGCAGCTCGTCGAGACGCTTCTGCCAGCGATCCATCGCACGCCGTCGCTCGATCTCCTGGATCATTGCCCCTACATGCAGGGTGATCGATCCATCCCGGGCGAGTATCTCCCGCCTGCGGAGGTACGTCCTCCTCATCCTGTTCGCCGCCAGATCGAAGGGGATTAGCCCCGCTAAAATGGCCGCCGCGTTATACGAGACCGTGCGGTAGCCCCTCACTACTCGAAGAGCGAGCTGCCGCTGTAGTTTTCGGACCGCACCGGTGATTTCGCGATCCTCCGCCGCTATTTGCGCCCATATGGGCGCACCATAGAGCACGATTGACATTACCACGGCCGCATACGTCCGTCTTCTCCGCTCTCCGGGCCCCCCGATATTGGCCGTTATCCTGGCCAGGGACGACGCGATGCCCCATGCCTTCGGCATGAGCGTCCTAAAGTGGCCCCGAAAGGTCCACCGCGAGTCCAAGGTTAAGCCCAGGTACTTCACGGTGGAACCGATCGGGACCACTGTCCCACCTATGTGTATCGCGGCCCCCCTCGGAATGTTGTCTGCCATAAACGGAATGGCTTCGATTTT